GAGTCTCTGTTTCTGACGCTTCTTGTTTTGGATTTGGTCCCTTGCTGGTCACCCCTCCATCCACATTAGAATATGCTCAGAACCTGGTGTGTGTGCCAGAGGGAGCCTGCACCGCAAAAGAAAATGCTACTGAACCACGTACAGGTTTGTGGATGTAGACGGGGTGGCAAGCACTGAGGGGCGCACAGAAGCGTGGATGTAGACACGGGGTGGCAAGCACTGAGGGGCGCACAGGAGCATGGACCTGGGTGTCAGCATTGAGGAGTGCACAGATGTGTGGAGGAGGGACACACAAGTATGTGGATGTTGCAGCGCCAATAAACTCACAGAAGGCTCAGGGTGGACCAGACACCTCAGGTGGCCTGTGTCCTGTCCCGACCCAGTGGCCAAGCCCACCCTTTAACAAGTGTGGATGTGGGACAGGAAAGGACTGGAGGAGCGTCACACTGTGCTCTGGGAGAGCTGAGCTCACACCCCAGCATCCTGCCCTCAGAAAGTGAGAAGACATGAGCGCAGGCTTTGGGGCTCCCTTGCTGCCCTCTTGCCCAGGAAGGACGCCTGACTGCATGTGTCCTGTGAACCCCAGAGCTGGCTGTGAACCTGAGACCACATGGTCCCAGCCACCCTGCCACCAGCCCTTAGGTCTCCTGGCCACCCCGGCACTGAGCCACAGGACAGAGCTTGGGGGGTGGGGGTACATAGGCTTGCAGGCAATGGTGCCAGAGTCAGTGCCCTGCACAGCAACTGCACACGATGGTGGGGAACCCAAGCTCTCAGCTGCCCCTCATCACCCTAGATGTTCCCTAACCCCTCCTACTCCCTGTGGGTGGGTCCATTGAGCTTACACCCTTGGTGCTGTGGGACCAGGCTCAGTGTCCACTTCCACTGTGGGCAGAGGAGCAGGGGCATCGCCTGGATCAAGAGAAGGGTTATGGGCGGTGGGGGAGGGGAGGTCAGAGACTGAGGGACAGGCTACCGTGGCCCCAGGATTCTCAAAGAGGCCTGTGTCTCTCCCTGGACCAATTTCTCCAAGTGTGTCTGCAGAACCCACACCCACCCCATCCTCACCGGGCTTCCTGAGCTGGTGGGAGATGGTGCACATCAGCAGTCTGCCTGCCAGGGGGGGACCGCGGCATGGACACAAGCTGAGAAGAGGCCCCCCCAGACTTGTCCCTCAGTCCCTGACCACACCCCACCTCAAGGTCCCCTCTTCAGTTAAAATCAGTCTAAGCTGTTGTCACTAGAAAGAGACTCCAGAAGACACCACGAGACAGTCCCACGGCCACTTTGGGCACTCAGCCCAGGTCACAGTCACATAGCAGGGTGCTGGCTGTTTCTTGACACCTCAGACACAGTTCCACAGCTACCCTGGGGACTCGGCACAGGTCACAGTCACAAAGCCAGATGCTGGTTATCTCCTGACACCCAGGGATACAGCCCAGGTCACATAGCAGGGTACTGGCTGTCCCTTCTGGGTTCCTTTCTCTAGACCCCACCCCTGGGTGAGGTGGTGAAGCTGGACACCAGGCCAAGTACAGAGTGAATGAATGATGTGCATGCCAGTGGAGACAGAAGGCGGTGGCATCAACAGGAGTGGACAGGTGGGACAAATGCTGGGTCAGGCCCCCTCCACGGATGACAGCTGGAAGAACATGAATGGTGGATGAGAGGCTCTGTAGGCCAGAGCACAGCCCTCAACCACCCGGGTCAGAGGGGCCGGCTCCCCAGCCAGCCTCCCACGCCAGGCCCATGGCTGCAGCGCAGTTCTGACTCAGCGAGCTGCTGCCAGCTTTCTGAGACCGAGTCGTCATGGGAACGGACCACCCTCTTTCTCTCACAAAGCAGCTCGGGGATTCGAACCACCACCGGAGATGACCTTCTGCTCACTAGCTCAGCTCCATGGGGCCTGTCCACCAGAGGTACATTAGGTGTGCTCCAGGTTACAGTGGCCTCGGCGACTTGTCTTCATACACTGCCAGGCCTTTCTCCCGCGGTGCTGCTGGGGGACTCTTACCTCCACTGTCCTGGGACTGCTTGAGGTCAGAGTTGCTGTGATGAATGAGGTGGCTACTGCCTGCTCACAGCGACCTTCCAAATCCCGCTGCACTGGCCACTTCGCTGGTGTGACAGCCCTCTGCCTGTGCCCTGAGCTTTTCAGCCCGCACACCAGAACAAAACCTTCCAGCACCCCCTCTCCTCACACTGCATGTTTATTTATGACAAATTGTAAAAGACATTTCAAAATAAAACACTTAAAAATACTCGCTTTCCTGCACATCCAGGGGGCACTTCTCCAGTTCTAGGACCGTGCATTCTCTGGACTGACCACGCAGCTCTGCTCTCGTGCTGAGGGCCCACTTCCCCTCCTGCCCTGAGACCCTCTCGAGGTCACGCTCCATGCAAGCTCAGGACCAGCAGCCTGGCCTTGCATGCCCTTCTGCCTGCGGTCCTGCCTTCTGTGGGGCACCTGGTGAGTCCAAGGCTCTGGGCATCAGAGCTCTCAAAGGATGGCACCATGCCCAGACCACTGGACGTGGAAGTGGGGACAGTTCAGCCACCAAGCTTCTGGGGCTGGGCAGGGAGGAGGAGATTGGAACATAAACTCGATTCCTGTCACCAGATCACTTGTAAGTCCCATGGAGAGTAGAGCTCTGGGCCACCTTCTTGTCAAGGGACACATCATCAGGTGACAAATGTGCAGGAGGGGCGGCAGTGTTTTTAGTGCAGGGTCTTACCTTTCTTTCTTTTTTTTTTAACCCTAAATATGTAAAAACTATTCCTGGCCTGGGAGCTGTATAAAAGCAGACTCAGGACGGGGGGACAACGGGGACCAGCGCTCAGCCTCCATCCACCATGCTGGGTACTTCTGAGGTGGGCGACTCTGATTCTTTGTCCAGCCTTCAAGAAACCATGCTGGCATAGATTCAAGTTGCTCTGCTGACCGGAAGCTGGTGTTTTGAGCTGCTCCAGGAGAACGCTGGGCAGTCTCTTCCCTTAAAGATTTACACTCAGAAACAAGATGTAGGTTCTGCCACCCATCAGAGCCGACTCCACTGCAGTGGAAGGGCCTAGCCGCAGAGAGCTTCAGGTGAACCTGGGGGTGTGTCGGGACCCGGGGCTGGAAGTCCGGGTGCAAGAGAGCACCACAGGAAAAGTAGCCCAGAGAAGTGAGGTCTGGCCTCACCCTGCCTGCTGCTGCTTCCCCAGACCTGCGCCGGTCAGGCCAGAGAGCGAGGTGGCCTCTCCAGGTGGCCGTCTGGCTCACTCCAGGCTGTGCACCCGCTGGTGCTGGATCAGGTGCGAGCTCAGTCCGAAGGTCCGGCCGCACTCGGTGCAGCGGAACGGCCTCTCGCCGGTGTGGACGCGCTGGTGGCGGAAGAAGCCTGAGAGCGCGCGGAAAGCGCGGCCACACTGTGCGCACTCGAAGGGCTTCTCGCCCGTGTGGATGCGCCCATGCTCACGCAGGAAGGAGCTGCGGCTGAAGGCGCGGCCGCACACGGCGCAGGCGTAGGGCCGCTCGCCGCTGTGCACGCGCCGGTGCTGCGCCAGGTTGGAGCTCTGGCTGAAGGCCTGGCCGCACTCGGGGCACGTGAAGGGCTTCTCTCCGCGGTGGGCGCGCAGGTGCTGTGTGAAGTGGGAGCTGTGCACGAAGGCGCGCCCGCACTCGCCGCACGAGTACGGCTTCTCCCCGGTGTGGATGCGCTGGTGCTTCAGGGCGTCGGACCTGCGGCCGAAGGCCTTCCCGCAGTCTGTGCACACGTGCGGCTTCTCTCCACCCGAAGCCCGTGCGTGTCTGAGCGCTCCGGCCCGACGCGAGGGCTTCCTGCTCGGGGTTTCCAGGCCTGGCTCCTGAAGCCTGCCGCACGCTGCAGGGACCCCAGGATTTGGGTCACATCCATCGCTGGCCCCACCCACAGGGTCGCTCTGAGAGTTCTCCGACAGTCCTGTGCTGGCTGGGCTTCGGAACTCAGATCCTGGGCCAGGCTCCTCCTCTGAGGCGGCCTGGCGCAGAGTCTCTGCCTCTTGGGGAGCTTCAGGCTCAGGAGTCCGCTCCACACACTGAGCCTCATTCCCGCAGTCTGAAAGCAGAAACGGGGAAATGAGTATCAGGACTGGGGGACAGAGAACACACAAATCCAAGAGGAGGGGGTTAGGAGTTGAACAGAGGATGGGAAGTAGTGAAGGCAGGGTCCTCCAAGGACCAGGGGTGCGGTGGCCAGGCCAGGTGCAGGGCAGGAAAGGGAGTAGAGAGTAGGAGTGGGCACAGGACAGAGCAGAGAAGGCGGGCAGGGGCGGAGACAGGACAGAGGTGGGGTCACTGAGCATGCAGCTCCCCCACATCGCACACAGCTGCCGCCCTAAGAACTACAGTTAGAAAGGGCTGAGGGGACCCTCAGAGCCCCAGCCTGACCTTAAGGGGCGGAAGAGGGGTGCAGGGTCGAAGGGCATCCTGTGAAGAGGCACATTTCATGAAGGAAAAGGCCAGGCTGGTAACCAACTTCTGGGCAGACCCCAGTGCTGCATTCTTCTCCAGCGGTCCCCCCAGCAGGGGCGGGCCTCTTTGCAGGAGCATGAGAAACTGACCAGAGGTGGGGGCCATGCCCACGTGGACCAGGAAGGGAACCTGAACTCGGAGAGCCCCCTAATCTATCAACTAGCGGCAATTCTACAAGAGAGACGAACAGCTGTGACTGCTCAGAGACGTGAAATCCGTGGTGGTGGGTCCAGCGCGAGCCCCCGGGGATGTGAGCCCCAGGGAAGCGGGAGGAGGCAGCCCGCGCCCTCTGCGGCAGGGAAGGTTGGGACCAGAGGTCTGGGTGGACCTCAGCCCGGCTGCGCTGCAACCGCGGCAATATTCTGACCAGCAGGGGTCAGGACCTGGGGCTGCAGCCAGGGCCGAGAGTCCTCGGAGCAGCGCCCAGAGGCGCGTGGGAAGCGGCAGGGATGGAGCGCAGAGCGGCTGAGAGCGTTTCTACGCGGGAGCTGCCCACAGCGGTTTGTTTACCGCCCTTCTCGTTCTCTTTACTTTTCTTGAAAGCGCGCCAACCCGACCACGGAGTGGAATCTCCCAAATGCTGCAGGGAAAGACACTTGTACAGACCGCAGCCGCGACAGGCCTGAACCAGAGCCCCTCCCAGACCTGCCTCCAGGGTGAGGGAAGCACACAGGGCGACAGAAGTGGGGCCGTCGGTGGCCTGTGGGCCAGGGCAGGGCGGGGCTGTACCGTGCGGCTGGACCTCCGCGGGCGAGGCGGCGGGCGTGGCCCGAGCAGCCATTGGCTGCGCGCGCGAGTCCTCCTGCTCCCGGGCGCGTCCTGCGGGAGAGAGCGACCCAGCAGGTGGACAGGGGCTCTGGCTGCTCCGTCCTCCGCCCAGCCCCGCCCACCGCAGGGAGCTGACACGCGAGCTGAGAGGCGGACGCATGTCTGTCCATACACAGTGGGGGTCCCAACCCCCCCTTCGGCTGCCCTGCAGGGACCTCGGGGTAACAACTCTGCCCCGCGGCCAACTCTGGAAGGAGAGCACCTGCTCTTCCGTCTGGTGGCCTCGAACTGCCAACCTTTGGGTCGGATGCCAAGCGTTAGCGCCACGCAGGGCTTCAAACAAGGAAAGTGAAGTAACCTGGGAACTGACCGATGGTCAACCCAGCGCCAGCCCGCGGCCGCCCAGCAACTGGCTCCCCAGGCGCAGGTGGCCTCGCGCGGAGCTGCGGACCCAGGGCGCCCGGGCTCGGGCCGCGGAGTGGACGCCGTGCGGGCGCGAGGGAGTCCCGGGGGAGGCCACGGGGCGCGCTGCCCGGCGGCCGCAGACTGCACGGCGCTCGCCGGGTCCACTCGCAGCAGGGGGCTGGACCGGAAGCCGCGGCCCCGCCCCCAGGAGCCCCGCCCCGCGCGTGGACACTTCCGGGCGCTCTAGGACGCGCGGAGGGCCCGCTCGGTGGACTCGGCTCCGGGGCGCGGGCGTGGGCGCGCGCCGTCTTCGGGGCTGAGTGGTCACCGAGACCTGTGGTGGGAAGGGTCAGCGGCCCGGCCCCGAGGCCAGTCAGGACTGTCCGGCTGAAGGAGAGGTTCCAGCGAGGCAGAGACATAGCGGCCGTCGATGGCAGGAGCTGCAGGGACAGCGGTGCAGGCGGCCCTGCTGGGGTCAGGCTGGAGCCCTGGCCGGGACAGCGTCCCCACCGAGGCAGCGTCCCCGCCGGGGCTGGACGGTATCCGGGTCCCTGCTCCGTCCCAGGCCCACCGAACCTGCGCCCGCGACCTCGCTGTGACCGGGCTGGCCCTCCAGTGAGTGGCCACCTCGAGACTCAGCCGGGGGACGATCTTGTCCAGGGCCCGGGAATGGGCCCTGAGCACGGCGGGGAGCCACAGGGCGCTCCGGCGCGGTGAGGAGGGGACAGCACCTCTTGGGAGCCACAGACCTTCCTGCTGAAGCCCCACAGCTCCGGAGTCAGCGCCCACCAATGTCCACTACAGCTTACTGCCTTGTCCTCAGGGGAGACGCAGACCTCTCTAGCACTTGAGCCCAGGAGGACTTCTTCCATCTCATCCGCTAGTCCCCAGGGGCCACTTCCCAGCAGCCCTATCCAGGTGGTGACCCATGTGGAGTCTTGTGCCTGGAACCACTGCCCTCCTGCACCTGGGCCTGTCTGCACACAAAGCCTCAGAAGTTGCAAAGGAAAACGGCCTTGTCGCGTACGCGCGCGCGCGCGCGCACACACACACACACACACACGCGCGGCAGGTAGCCTCCTCTCACCACTCCGCGATCACCAAGTCACTGTCACTGTATAGGCCTGGTGCACTGGACAGCAGCTCATAACTTAGGGTCTTTTAAATCTTTCCAGTGGGACATGACCATCTTTCTCCTGCAGAGAACCTAGTGGATTTGAACTGCTGACATGAGCACTGTGCAGAACTCCCAGGATCATGGCATCATGGGGCGCCTTGCACGTCCTTGTCCGTGGAGGGTCGCACCTTGATGGTGAGGGATGTGGATGCCTGTCGGTGTAAATTCTCTGGTGCCCCACATGCCCTTGTGCCCACAGGCGCTTTCCCACACTTGTCTATAGGGTCTCCCTCCATGAAAATGCTGGTTCTGGACTAGCTGACCTTCTGCCCGACTTTGGCACGTCCAGTTTGCCGGTGTCCCCCAGTGAGATGTCTGTGATGTTGAACTGCCAGGCACACATTGAAAGCCCTCTCCCTCATGACAGGTCCAGGTCCAGGTCCCTAAGGGCCTGACGATCTTCTGGAGCTGTGCCCACACCTCATGTGATCAGGCTGGGGTGCTGTCAGGCAGTACCAGGGCTCTGGGGTGTGTCCTCTGGCGCTCAAACATCTGGATTCCCTAGGAAGTGCTACCATACCCACACATCTGGGCCAGCTTGTGCAGGATTCTGTCTGCGAGGTCTGAGCACTGAATAAATTCAGGCTTTAGCTCGTGACACTCCAGTGCACTCTCTCTGCGCCCTGTGCTGGGTGTCAGGTTCTGAGTCACAATTGCAGGCACGCCCTTCCACTTGCGGGTGCTAAGCAGGCCCGCATATCCGCACCCCAGCTCTGCTTGGCCACTTGGTGCCATTTGAGCATCTGCTGATAAAGGCACCTGAGGGAGCCAGCTCCTTTGTGACTTCTTGTCTGTCTGCAGCTGTGGTTGGTAAAATCCTGGGGTGATTTGTCCAGCGGCACAGGACTGGTCCCACCGTGTCCCTCAGAGCTCTGGGACTGACCTATCTCCTTGCTCTAAGCCTGGCTTCGCATGCCTCCTCCAACCCCAATTCCCTTCCTGCATCCCAGAATCCCGGCATTGGCGGGCCCCTTCCTCAGTGTTTGCACCCCGGACCTTCGTGACTCCCCTTCAAACCTCTAAACTGTAACCAACCCAACACCTTCCTCTGGTAAAGAATTGCAGCACCAACTCAAAGGCACATGGTTCGACTCCACCAGCTGCTCTGCAGAAAGATGGGTAGTCTGATAGCACTGAAGGCCAGTTCTAAGTCAACGGTACCTATCAACAGTGGTGGTGGGAGCCCTCACCTTCTAGTTTGCCTAAATTCACTGCTTTTGAGTCAGTACCGACACAAGAGCTGGCCTCCCTTGGGCTCCTGGGGCCACAGAAGCATGGCCTCTGGGTTAGCACCTCAGCTCTCACCAGAGCTCCCTTTTTCAGGGCTAGTAACCACTCAATACCGTTAATTCATTACACTAGTAACTGGTGAGGTTCCCAGCCCCGGAGGGGCCCCACTCACCTGCATGCCTAATCCTTAGGGACATGTTGGCCCATGAAGTCTGTCCTTTAGGTGTCCCCAGCTCGTGAATGCCAGCCCTGTGCCCAGACCCATGCTTCCGCTCTAGACGCTGGAGCTGGGATGCTGGCACAGAACCAGGCCCTTGTTCCATACCATGACCTGTGCCCGGGGCCAGGTACAGGAAAGGCAGTGAGATGGCACAGGCCTGGACCTGTTGCCAGGACTCAGCCTGCCTTAACTACATGGCGCGAGAAATGCCAAGTCTGACTGAAATAAGTCTATTGAATTTACACAAGGAATAAAAAGTGTTGACAAGCACCTGAGGACGAGTCCTGGGGAGCAGGAAGCAGCCAGCACCGCCCAGCTCTGAGACCTCAGGACTGATATATGTGGGTCATCACGACTGTGGACCCTGTAACACTTCAACCAAGTGCCTGCCTCTGATAGGCGTGGGCAGTCGAGAGGGGTGTGCTGATGGATGGAATGCAGAAATGGACCTTGTGTCTGCAGTGGACCGACAATCTAGAGGCAGAAACGTGGGTCCCTCCCCAGAAGCCCACCACCTGTGGTCAGGGGATAAGACGATAGGGCAAGGGCTTTCCCTTGGCTGCCAGAGCTGGAATCTGAGGATGTGCTCATGTGGCCAGTGCTATCCTCACTGTGGGAAGGGAGCAGTGTGTGTGCGTGTGTGAGCCTCTGGAGGGGTCTCTAGGCATGTCGGCTTGAGAAGGGGCCTGGCTGCCCCTAGAGTGAGCCTCCTCGAGGGGCTGGGGCCGTGTTTAGAGGACCCTCCCTCCTCAAAGCTGCTAGGGCTGTAGACACAGACCAGCAGGCTGATGCACCTCACAGGACAGAGGAAGGGTCCCGAAGGACCCAGCCTGGGTCCAGTGCTAAGAGGAGGTGGAGCTGTTACAGAAGTGAAAGGAAGAAGTGGATGGTAAGGTTTGTACTAACAGCCTTGAACTTGGCGAGTAGGGTAGCAGGGGATCCAAGTTCCTCTCGGGGATGAGGAAGCCAGCACCTCACTGCCCACAACACTGTTACTACCCATGGCCATGTGGCCCCTGTGGGCCACAGCATCCCAGCTGTGTCCTGAACTGTTCCCAGAGCCCCCTCCCACTTCACTGGATCTCACCAAGACCTATCAGGTCCTGCCAGTGGACGTTTGCTGGGACATGAACAATGCAGCCCTGATCTTCTAGCTGGGGGCAGGGAGGATGGTGCCCAAGGGCCTGAAGGCACTGGTGTTCTGTGAAGGGAAGGGAGATGATGCTAGGAGTCGGGTGGGTGGGTGAACTGTGCAGGAGCTTTGGTCCACCAACCCATCACCAGATAACTCCCACTGCCTGGAGGGGATCCACGGCCTGAGGGAAGCAAGATGCTTTCAGGAATGTATCACTAGACACCTCAATACCACTCCAGGCGAGCCCTGACCTGGGGTGAAGCAGTGGCTTCCTCACCCAGAAAGCCACTGCCCAGCCTAGCCCCACCTTGTGCTATGCGGGATCCAGGGAGACGTGTGTTCCCTGTGGTCTAGCAGACAAGCCCTTGCATTCCTCCCCTGTAAAGCCAGCAGCTGGCAACCCTTCCAATGGCCAGAAAAGGTTTACTGGGCATGCAGTGGTGGGGCAGTCAGGTGGCCGGACGCTGGTTGGGTGGCAGGGCTGCCGCTGCCCTCCTACTCCTGGTAGTGAATCCTCTGGTGCTGGGTGAGCTGTGAGCTCTGGCTGAAAGCCTTGCCACCGGCGCTGCAGGCGAAGGGCTTCTCGCCCGTGTGGGTCCACAGGAGGTGGAAGAAGTGCAAGCGGCCGTGGAAGGCCTTGCCGCACTGGTGACAGTTGTAGGGCTTCTCGCCCGTGTGGATGCGCTGGTGCTTCAGGAGCAGCGAGTTGTACTTCTGGACCCTGGTGCTGCCCTGCTGGTCCCTGAAGCCTGTGCCCAGGTTGTCGCTGCTGCCCAGCTCGGCCTGAATGGGGCTGGTCTCCCAGGCTCCCTGTGGCAGGAATGTCACGTGCCTGGTGTCCCTCTTCGATCCACAAAGCTCAGGCCCTGGCGGTTGGCCTGAAGGCTGCTCCAAATCAGCCTCTGGCCCAAAGCTGTCCCCACACTTGAGTCTCTGGGGAAGGGTTTGCATCAGGCTCTTCAGCACCCCCATGTTCTGGCCCACCTCCAACCTGGGCATGTGTGGTGGGAGAGACGGTGGCACCTTCTGGGGCTCAGAATCTGCAATGAGAGGATGCCAGATAGCACTCAGCTATGCGGCACATCTGTGCAGCCTTGAGTGTGCTCTGGGCAGGGGGCCAGCAGCCAAGGCCTTGTCCTGAGAAGAGACAGCAAGAAGCACCTGTGGGTGCAGGGGTGAGAACAGGAGGCCCCCACCTGTACCAGGAAGCTGACCCAGTGATGTGGGGGTCCTGGGAACCTTCCCTGTGTTCTCACACAGTTCTAAGGGCTGAGGGGAGACCCGAGTGAAATGAGCTGGGCCAGAGGCTGAGGGAGAAACTGCTCCACCTGCCAGCTGACCCACCTGGACAGCAGGGAGCTAACAGGCAGGGCTCCAGAAGGGTGCTGGAGGAAGAAAAGCCCAGTACTGCTGTCCTCCTGGGACCCCGCAAACCTTACTTTGTGAGAGACCAAGCAATGCTGGCATTGTTCCCAGATGGGATAGTTATCATACGAAGGACATGGATGTTAGCTGTGAGCGGTGGACTGTGCTCGGCACTAGTTAGAGGAGTGAGCTGTCCTGGGGACCAGTTAGGTGGTGAATCACAACAGGTAGAGGTGGTTAGAGGTGGACTATGACAGATACTGGTTAGGGCATGTAGGGATGGGTAAAGATTCAGGAGAGGGCAGTGATTAGGAAGTGGACTGGTGGGTATGGGCTAGGTGGTATTGGCTGGGTTGGAAGGGTTGACTACTGGTTAGGTGCTGGACGTGATGGGTATTGGCTAGGGGTAGGCACAGGCTGGGTACTTTTCTTGGATGGGTTATAGGAGTTAGGGTAATGGCTATAGTGGTAACAGGAGACCAGGTGGACCTGGGGCGGAAAGGCAAGGGATGGAGGTGAGTGATTGGCATGGGGCCGTGCTGGGCCCCCTCCCCTCAGGTTGCCTCTGGGAGTTCCCACTCAGCAGGCCAGCAGGTGTTTCTCCCAATCACCATTTCCTGGATGACTTGAGGATCCAGGTCTGACAGCTCCACAGGCGGAGGCTCCTTAGGGCTGGATTTATGGGACTCGAGAGGCGGACAGGGAAGCTGCGGCTCATCTCCCACCCACCAAGTGCTTGCCCACTTCTAGCTACAGCAGCCTCTCCCCTGAAACCAGCCCTGGGTTCACAAGCTCCACTTCCTCCTGCCTGGTTCCCTGAACATCCCCTCCTGTAGCCAAGCCAGACGACTCACTGTCTCCCTGAACCGGCAGACCAGTCCTGTTTAGTGTTGCTATCCAAGGCTTCCCTGACCCTCCCCAGCACAGCGCAGCGCCCCCTCCAAGAGGCCTCCCTGGAGTACCCATCCCTGAGTGCTGCCCCTCTGCCCACTCAGGAGAGGCTGGGCAGCTGGGGAAGCACTTCAAGTCCAACTCTTGGTCTCCATGGCAGTGTCCATCCACCCTGGTCTTAGCCACTGCAGGGCTGAGCCACTGAATGGTCAAGGGCGGTGAACACATGAGGTTAGGAGGCCGCAGGAGTGAAATCTGGGTGCAGATCCGCCACCACCTACGAAGCATCTTTAGGTCACTTAGCAGGGCTTCAGTCCTCTCATCTGGATGAAAGGCACAGGCACCCCTACCCTCGCTGCCTGAGCATAATGGGGACTCCGGGTGGATGGCCTTCCTCGGAGTGCAGGTTCGAAGCAGAGAGCAGCAGCTCCGGGTGCGGGCAGCCACGGCCACCTGGATGGCAGCGAGGGCGCTGGGGTGCTCGGGCGCTGGGGTGCTCGGGCGCTGGGGTGCTCGGGCGCTGGGGTGCTCGGGCGCTGGGGTGCTCGGGCGCTGGCTAAGCCCCGTCGGGGCTCCGGGTGCGGGCAGCCTCGGCCCGCTGCGCGCCCCGCAGACAGCGATCGCGAAGGGCCGGTGGGCCGACGGCTGCAGGACGGGGCACCCCGTGGCTCTGCGGGCCAGCTCCGCTCCGACGCGAGAAGGCCGGAGTCCCGAGGCCGAGGCCGGGGCGACCAGGGACCCGAGCCTCGAGCCTGCAGCGAGCACTCACCTTCCCGGCCCGGCCGCCGACAGGAAGTGCCCGACCCGGACCCGCACGCGCGGCGCACACTTCCGGGCCGCTCTGGGCCGCTCCGGGCCGCTCTGGGCGCCTGGAGGACCGCGCTCCTCACTGGCCGCCAGCCCTTTGCAGCCCCATAGACAACAACACAAGGTGACCAGACCCTGTGGAGTTCTTATCACTTCATTCTCAGAAAAGCACTGCTGTGATGTTCTCGTTATCGTGCCATTGACTCTTCCCGACACTATGAACAGTAGCTAGGAACCCGGCCCTATTCTGTGCCAGCCTCATCATCTCTGACATACTTGAGACCTTTGCTCTAGACGCTGAGTCAGTCCATCTCGCTGGGGGTTTCATTCATCTCTTTCATTGACCTCCTCCACCTTTCTAAGCATAATAGCCCTTTCCAAGGAATAATCCCTGTTAACAACATGCCAAAATATGTGATACCAGTCTTCCTTATCCTTGCCTCTAAGAAGCATGGCCACATTTAGCTTCAACTTGAATTTGCATATGAGCAACTGATGTGTGATTTACTGCCTTGGAAAACCTGCTGGAGGGTCAGCTATGTGCTGGTTCCAACTAGACATTACACACCACCACCACCAACATTCTGACTGCTGATATTGGGCGTCACTAAGGTCTCTTTCTTGTGTAAATGTGTCAGAGTCAGTGAGACTGGCTTCGGACCAGGACAAGCTTCAGAGCTATTGTACATAGGGTCACGATGAGTCTCAGGTGACTTGACAGCACACAGCAACAACAACACCATTCATTGCACATACCTTTTTTTAAAGACACAAGGGGCAGCTCTGCACATGGACCTCATCTGAAGGGCTCCATAGGAATCAGAATGACTGTATCTGTGGTTTTGGAGAAGAGCACTAAATAACCCATGGACTGCCAAAAGAACAAACAAATACGTCTTGAAGAAAGTGCAGCCAGAATGCTTGGATTCTTGTGTATTACATCTGGTGAGGTTCATATTTATACTTGCAAAGAGCTTTTTGCAACAAATTAAATTGGTGATAGAAATAACAGATTAAAAATAACTAATAATTTAATTAATTAATAAGTCATATT